GACTCCCATCCAACAATGAGAGATGCACTCTCACCCTGGACTCTTGGGGGAGGGTCTAGGCCCTGCCCTGGATGAAATGACAGACTATGGACACCCCATGGGGGGGGCCTCACCCTCCCCGGTGAAATGAGAGGATATTGGAGGGGTTGGTGGGAGGGCGTGGGAGGAGGGGAGGGAAAGGCAGAGGGACCTGGAATTGACATGTGAAGCAACCTTGTTTCCAATTTAAATTTAAATTTAAAAATAAAAAAAAGTCTTCTCTATCCCACAAGGTTTCCAGATTATCTGCCCACACAGACACAATTAGCAATTCTCTTGCTAAATCAAGGTTACAGGCAAGCATTTCTCAGGGTCATAAAGCAGATAGGGCTCACACAGAGCAGTACCTTGTCAGCTTCCTTTATGGCTCAGGGAGGGTTTGACTCCTGAAAAGTGACACACCCCCTCGCATTCCTTAAGAAGACGGGAAACTGGTCAGTGGAGGAAGGGACTATGATTTCTAAGAGGGGAGAAATGGGCGTTGTGTGTTGCACTACATTTGTGTGGCTAGTTAAGCTAGAAGTTTGTAATCGAATAAATGAAGAAAAGGGGAAGAAACTCAGCAGTGCTGTGGACTCTCCAAGCACTTCTGCTTCAGCAGAGGCTGGGAACACAGTCTTGTGGTAACCACAGCCACCAGTGTAAGCTTTGGAAGTAAACCCGTTTGCATTTTCAGCAAATGTTAGCTGATTAAAGGGGACTTCTTAGCTATCAGGCTCACACTGAGGTTCTTAAAGAAAACCAGCTGAGTGGGCTATCCTTCCTCTTCCTTTGGAGACAGTGTTTATATGTAATCCAGGCTGACTCCTGATCCCTGGGCCTCTGCCTTTCAAATTCTGGAGTGCCAAGCATGTACTGGGACACTTGGATGCTGCTCCTTGTTATTATTAATGTTCTCTCCCAGGAAAGCCGAAACAATGCCTGAGGTCATTTCTGCCTGCCCCCAACCTGAAGAGGTCCCTACAGGACTCCAGGCCTCAGCCTGACTCCAGCCCTCAACCTGATTCAGCTCTCAGTCCTGAAAAACTTTTAACTCAATGCAGATTCTCTAAGACTTTTAGGTGGTAGAGTAGACAGTGAAGGACATCTCACAGCTAGGACAGGACAGTGAACAGGACAGTAAAGGAGTTCTTACAGCTAGGATGGGACAGTGACAGACATATTACAACTAGGTTGTTTGGGCACATGCTCAAGTTGTTTAAATTAGTCCCCGAAATTGTGCAAATGCAGCATGTAGCTCACACACCTGAACACATGTTACTGTAAAAGGTAATGCAACTCCTTGAATCCCTAACACTAAGGCAGGTTGACCGAGGACAAAGGTCAAGAATAATTTAGAGTCACAGCTTAAGGTTAAAATAAAAATCACTATTTTTAAAATTATAACACAGGGTTTCTCTTTGTGGCCCTGGCTGTCCTGGAAATTGATCTGTAGACCAGGCTGGCCTTGAACTCAGAGATCTGCCTGCCTCTGACTTCCAAGTGCTGGGGTTAAATGCAGGCACCATGATTCCTGGCCCTGTCCAAGAATCTAACTTCTCCAAAACAAATGAAAACAAAAAAGGCCTCTGTCTTCTCCCAGTCCTTGGAAGGAAAAGGAAAGAGAAGAGCCACAGGTAATGGCTTTGTGGGACAGTTTTACTTCCTGTTGGTAAAAGCCCTTGTCACCTTTGATTGCTGCAATCTTTTTTTTTTTTTTGGTTTTTCGAGACAGGGTTTCTCTGTGGCTTTGGAGACTGTCCTGGAACTCACTCTGTAGACCAGGCTGGCCTCGAACTCACAGAGATCCGCCTGCCTCTGCCTCCCGAGTGCTGGGATTAAAGGCGTGCGCCACCAACGCCCGGCTGATTGCTGCAATCTTATGCAGAAAAGGTGAATGTGTCCCTGTGGTTACAGTAAGCAGTGTCACTTCCAAAGCTGAACTCGAGAAACCTGCAGAAGCTATGGAGAAATGTCTTTATTTCCAGCTAATGTTGACACCAAAACTAAGCAGAAAGTGTCACCCACATTCATGCCAACCAGACAGCGACTGGAAGGGAACAGGGCAGAAGAAATGCATTCTTTCAGCAAAACCAGGGTTCAGTTATGGACACAGAGCAGGCATTTCCAGGTCAATGAGTCCATCTCTGCTCCAGCTAGAAAGCAATCTACTCTAGGCGACTATGCATTGTGACAGTGTCATATCTTTGTCATCTTCCAGCCACAACATTCCAGGTGAACAGCACTGCTCATTCTTTTCTAGCACTTAAAGTCATCAGCAGTCTTTCCTGTCTGTGAACCCTACCAATAAGGACTGGCCTGGCAAGACACACCCCTGGGTGCAACAGTGGCACGGATGTTATGGAGTCACCTGCCACATTCTGACCGGGTTTGAGGCTCACTCTACAAGAGGAAACTTTAACTGAACATCTGGTCAAAACCCATGTCTGAGAGCTCATGGCTCCAGGGATGAACCTGCTGGAGTTATTTTGACAAATGGACATAGTATCAGGCTGCTCTCTCTATGTCCATGCCAGTGAACTGGTGCAGCTCTTGGACCACAGCAGAGAGGTCTCTGCGCAGTGATGGTGGTGACTGCAGAGTCGCCACTGAGGCAGAGAACAGTGTGCAGCACTCAGTCACAAAGGGGCTTCTGTATTACAGCCCCTCATCCCAGGCCTCAGGGACATAGAGGAAGAGGGATGGGAAGATTGTCAGATGGGAGCCGACTGGGGCAAATGACACTTTCTGGACACTCACAGCAGCTCTGGTCACCTGAGCAAGGTCAAGCCGGTCCATGTCCTAGCCTGGATGGGAGAGGCACTCACAAACCCTCTCCCCTAGCTGAGGAGCTGTTGACAGTCGGTGGCTGATAGTGCACAGAGTGTCATGGGGATCCTATTTCTGAGGTGAAACAATGATCTAAAGTGACTTGGAGAGGAAAGGATTTGTTTCACTCACACGTCCCTGTCACTGTTCACCATCAAAAGCAGTCAGGACAGGAACTCAAACAGGACAGCAACCTGGAGGAGGGAGCTGATGCAAAGGCCATGGAGGATGCTGCTTACTGGCTAGCCTCGAGTCCACTATTGTAGAGGCATTTCCTCAGCTGAATTCATGCCTGTCAGACAACTCTAGCTTGTGCCAAGTTGGCATAAACCCAGCCATAGAGAGTCAGTTTTCTTCAGGGATATGGTTGATGGCAGGTTGCCCACATTCCAGTGGATATCCTCACACCTGTGTGAGTATGCGAAGCACGAAGTAGACTCACTGGATTATTCACTAAAGTGATATGAAGTTGGGAAGAGAGTTGGGGGAGACAGTAAGTTGTGTGGGGGGAAGGAGAGTGTGTGAGTGAGTGTGTGTGTGTGTGTGTGTGTGTGCGCGCGCGTGCGCGTGTGTGCATGCCCATGTGTTTGTACAGACAGGATCTCATCAAGTAGTACAGGCTGGCCTCAAACTCTTCATCTTCTGTGTCAGTCTCCTTGGACTTGGGATCACAACTGTGGACCACCTGCCTTGATGAACATCCACTCCTGCTGGGCAGGGAGAGGTTGGCATGGAGACAGGATCCTTCCTCATGGTGATCTGGAAAGTGGCAATGGACTGATGATGCAGGTGGTCACAGCTGGGCAGGGTGACAGATCCCTGTAACCTGAGTATTCAGGAGGTCAAAGCTGCAGACTCCCAAGTTCATGTCTATCCTGGCAACATAGTGAGATCCCACATTAAAGAAAGATATGGACCCTTCATTGTTTATGATGGACAGATTAGGTGGAGGTTGGAAAGCAGTGGAACTGTTGTGGATGGTGCCTTGGATGATGGCCATATGAGCATGCATCTCAGAATACAGGGACCAGTGATTCCCCAAAGGCTGAAATTCAAGCTCACCATGGCCTGGGCAAGACAGCTCATTATAATGGTCCAGTATGGAGCAGTCCCCTCTCATAGACCCACCATAGCAGTGGTGAAACTGGGTGCCAGTCATCTTTTTTGTTTGTTTGATTTTGGTTTTTCAAGAACAGAATTTCTGTGTGGCTTTGGAATTCACTCTTTTTTTGTTTTGTTTTGTTTTTTGTTTTTTTTCGAGACAGGGTTTTTCTGTATTGTTTTGGAGCCTGTCCTGGAATTCACTCTTGTAGACCCCCTGGAACTCACAGAGATCCGCCTGACTCTGCCTCCCGAGTGCTGGGATTAAAACTGTGGGCCATCAACCCCCGGCTGCCAGCCATCTTTAGGATGTTTCTCATTTTTTCTTCATGTTTTAGTGACATGTATGTATTGCTATTAGACATCTAGGCGACTATAAAACCATTTTTCTTTCAGTAACAATAGAAGATCAGGAAGGAAAAAGAGCGCGTTGGTGGCACATGCCTTTAATCCCAGCATTCAGGAGGCAGAGGCAGGAAGATCTCTGTGAGTTCGAGGCCACTTGGTCTACCAAGTGAGTTCCAAGACAAGCTCCAAGACAATACAGAGAAACCCTGTCTCGAAAAACCAAAAAAAAAAAAAAAAAAAAAAAAAGAAAAGAAAAGAAAAGAAAGAAAACCAATATGTTTAAAATGCTTCCTGCAGGAGCCGGGCATTGGTGGCACACGGCTTTAATCCCAGTACTCGGGAGGCAGAGGCAGGCGGATCTCTGTGAGTTCGAGACCAGCCTGGACTACCAAGTGAGTTCCAGGACAGCCTCCAAAGCCACAGAGAAACCCTGTCTCGAAAAACCAAAAAAAAAAAAAAAATGCTTCCTGCAGGATGAGGGTTTGAGAATCCAAAAGAAAGGCTCTGCTGAAACACCAGTGTCAGCAACCCCAGAAGCATAAACCTCAGAGGCAGATAACTAATTTGCATAGCCCCACCCTTTCTCGGAAAGATATGGGTATAAGGAGCAGCTGGCTCCAGAGGCTGCCCTGTAGTCAGAAGGCAGAGCTGACCTGGTGCAGAAACTCAGGAGGTTCCCAATCTACGACGAGTACAGTTACACAATGGTCTTCCTCATTCCTGAAACCAACTTCCATTTTAAGGTCAAGGCAGAGATGAAGACCATATGTGCTCTCCTAAAGGAGAGATGCTTCCAAGGAGGCGCCCATCCCGTGTGGGTCTCCAAGGTGGTGAAGGTGAGCCCCCTCAGCCGGAGCTGACCCTGGTGGGGAGGGAGAGGACCTGAGGAGCCAGGCTGCAGTCCTGAGTGGGGAGTGAGTTACCCACCTTCTCTGTGTCCCAGTGTTCCCGTGTGCCCACAACTGTGGCACAGGGTGGGAACAGAGCAGAGACCTCACCTGCCGCATGGCTGGACTGTTGCAACCTCGTTGCCAATGTCCCCATCTGTCAAATGACACTTCCTGACAACGGCAGCTAACTCAGTCACTGTGATGGCTATAGAAATGTCATTTTGTAATATTAAGTCTGTGGGATGTGCAAGTGTGTTAGTGAGAGTGCTCGGCATTTTATTCAGGGAGGCTCCTCTCAGCATTATTATTTTTCTCAGAAATGTTCTTGGTGAATTCAGTAATCTTGATTTAAGCTTTGTTCTGTGACTTTTCAATACTGTTACAGGCTGATTCATGCGAGCATGTGGTGTACTATTAGTGTATTCCCTCACAGTCTGCTAACCATGGGATCGTGAAAATAGTTTCATAGGTCTGTGTTAATTTACTCACAGTCCCCTCTCCCCCACTGCCATCCCGTCCTTTACCCCTGACACTGAGCTCCCCCGGAGAGTCTCTGATGGCATGTCACCTGTGTGCAGCTAGATCCTGATTCCACATCAGAGAGCATGTGCTGTTTTGTCTCCCCTCCCCCATTACCTTTACTTGTTCCTCACTTCCTTCAGGTCCCTCCTGCCTCCCCCACAAAGTCATCTTTCTATGACAGACACACAGACAGACAGACACACAGACAGACACTCATACACGTTCTCTCTCAGCCATATTTAAATCTAGACACTGCTCATCATTGAGTCTGGCTTGCCTTCTGTACCATGAGAAGATCCAGAACCATCTATTTTCCTACATAGATCCTGATTTCACTCTTCAGGGCTGACTTAGTATTCCACTGTCTGTGTGCCAGATTTCTGGCTTTTGTTTGTTTGTTTTTTTCCTCCGTGGCTTTTTGAGGCTGTCCTGGAACTAGCTCTTGTAGACCAGGCTGGTCTCGAATTCAGAGATCCTCCTGCCTCTGCCTCCCCAGCAGTGGAATTAAAAGGCATGCACCACTACCACCAGGCATGCCAGATTTCTCTGTCCATTCATCTCTGGGTGTTGGGCCTCTAGGCTGTTGAGGGCGTGGACTGCTCAGCGTGGCTCTGCCTGTTGCATATCATTTCCATCATTGTCTTTCAGGTCAACTCCAACGGTGACTCAGAACGCAAGGGCAGGCTGGAATCTGACCTTGTAGTGTTCTTTACCAATCTTCACACTTTTGAGAATTATTTATATCGATGGGGAGTGGTCATCGAGGAAATTAAGGAACACCTGCATAAGTTTCAGAGAGAGAAAGATATTAGCCTGAAGTTGGAGGTCGAGAGTTCAAAGCAACCCAACCCCCAAGCACTCAGTTTCAAGCTAATCGACCCAGATCAGGAGGGGAGGTTTGTGAAGTTTGATGTGCTGCTGGCCTATAATGTCCTGGGTAAGTTAGAACCTCACCTCACCCTTCAATCCCTTCGATGTGCCAACATTATCTTTTCTAATTCTCTCTCTCTCATTGGCACCCCTTCCCCACTGGAAAGCTGCCTGAGGCTGGGGAGTCCATGACAAGACAGGCTTCTGGGGAGCCGCCCTCCCAGCTCATTTCTGGGTCACCCCCTCTGGGCACCTCCACTCTGCAGGGGTCTAAGCCTCTTGCAGCTTCCCACAGCATGCTGCCTGCTCCTACTCCCAGGCTGGCCTCCCATTCCCTGCTGCCTGAGACTCTGTACTGTTTCCATGGCTCTCCTAAGCCTAGGGCAAGTGGCCTGGTCTCTAAGTTAATAGTGCAGTTCACACAGTGGCCAGTAGGGGTGCTGTGTTCCCCAAATATAAAGTCTCAGCTATTAGCTCTTCAAACCCACACTTTGCTTTCAGGGGGTGTTCCTGGTTGTCTTTGGGCAGAGTTGGGCTACGTGCATGCACACACACACACCCTGCTGCTCTCAGGACTAGACAAACTTAAGTCTCTTGGTACTAAGTATGCACTACAGAAAGTCATCCAGAGAAAACACTGGCTGGATAGAACACAGGCATAAGGGCAATTAATATGTATGAGGACCTGAGTTCAAATGCCCAACACCCATCTAAACAGAGGACCACACCTAGGCCTTACATGGCCATAGACAGGAGAATCTCTGTGGCCTGCTGGATGCCAGCCAAGATCCACATTCACAGAGACCCTGCAAAGGGAGAAGATGACAAACTATAAAGGGAGACACCTTATGTCATCCTCTGACCTCTAAACATACATGTGCACTTCTTCTCAAATACACACAAACAATATATACAGCATACAAACACAGGACAGACTCTGTAAGCACGAGACACATGATGTCCAAATGCAGCAGACTGCTCCACAGTGAATCTGACACGAGCAGGAGTGTACACACGTGACAAGCCCTGTGCAGAAGGTACTGGACAGCAGAGCGTGGTTGGCCATTATTAGATGACCACAGTGTGTGACCACAGTGAGCAGTTGCCTTCCACCACTGTCTCCAGGCCTGTGAGTAAGGCACTGTACTAGGACCAGTTGGTGGCAGGTATTTTCCAGGAGCACGTGGTGTATGCAGTTCTGAGGTATTGTGGGGCACATGGATGTATGGGGAGTGATGTTTACTGTGGTAAAAATCTTCCCTGTTCACTGAACCCCACAGTCTATGAGTTTGTCACTCCACATAGGCCCAAGAACCCCAGAGAACATCTGGGTATTTGCTGAATGAAGCCTCTTTACAGGTCAGTTCAACTACATCAAGCCTAGCCCCAAAATCTACACTGACCTCATCAGTGAGCGCACCTCCAAGAAGCTGGAGGACAAGTTTGCCACCTGCCTCATGGTGCCCCAGAGAATATTCTTGGGGAGTACACCAAACAAGCTGAAGTATCTTAGAGACCGGGTCAAGGACTGGTACCAAACGGTATGGCCTCTGGAATATCCACTGTGGGCTCCATCTACACAGGGTGTGGAGAATGGGAGGGCTGATGAGAAGAAGGAAAATGAGGAGCAAGAGGGGAGGGAAGGAGTGGTGGGAAGGGAGAGAGAGAATGGAGGGGTGAAGGGGGAAGTCAAGGGAGGGTGACGTTGTAGGAGGGAGAAGGAGGGGAGAGGACCTGGGAGGAAGGAGGAATTTCCATGCTTGCTATGGATGATTTCTTCTAGTCCAGTTTCCAGTCAACTAAGTCACTCATCGGTGGCATCTAATTCATTGTTCAAGTGTCATTCTTTGGATTTCTCATTTTTTTCTTGCAGTATTTTGAGACTAGACAGCTATTGATGCCTTGCAGTTTACTGTGTAGACCAGGCTTGCCTTGAACTCTGCCTACATCTGCCTCGTAACCCTAGGATAAAAGGTGTACATCACAGACACTTTTATCGATGGATTGCTAATTGTGTTTTAACATGCACTGCTAATTACAAAGGCTTCCATTTTCCTGTTGTGCCAAGCTATATTTCTGGAGTATTTATATGTGTGTAAGATATATATGGTATGCGTTTATATATGCCTGTTCCTGGGAGCACATGCCTGTGGGTGCACGTGTGTGCACGTGTGTGCATAAACATGTGGAGACTGGAGAGCAAGGCCAGGTCCTCCGTCACTCTCCATCTTTTATATCCAGGCAGGGTCTCCCACTTGAGCACACAGTGTGCTGAGTCAGCAGCTCTGGACCACCATAGAGCCCCGGGGACCCCATTTCCATCCGCTTAGAGTGGGATTATGAGTCAGCTTCCCACAAGCCTGGCAGCCATGTGTATGTTGGGCATCTGAGCTCTAGTCTTCACTTTGCATAGGGAGGGGAGCACTTTACCCACAGGGCCGCCTCCCATGCCCCTCCCCAGTTATTTCAGAGCCTGTGAAGAAACCTTCAATAGTGAGCACCATTGCTCTCCCGCCCCCACCCTCACTCCCTGGCTGTCACTCAATGTCATGACTCCTCCTGTGTCTGCTGGTAAATGCTCAGTCTTTGTGGACCTCACAGTCTCTGTCTCAACCACCCAGTCCTTGCCTGTAACACAGGGGCATCCACAGACTGACTACATGAACGGGTGTGGCTGTGTGCCAGTAAATGCAATGGCAGCCGTATAGACCCCGCGCTAAGTGTCCCCCACACAACAGCTCACAGCCCCGTTTTTCTCATTGCTTTTCTCTTCTCAGTGTAAGAAGAAGCTGGGGAAGCCGCTGCCCCCACTGTATGCGCTGGAGCTGCTCACATTCTACGCCTGGGAATATGGGAGTGGAGTCTCTGACTTCAACACAACCGAGGGCTTCAAGACAGTCTTGGAACTGGTCACCAAGTACAGACAGCTTCGAATATACTGGACAATGTGTTATGACATTAAACTCCAGCACAGACAGCTCAGTGGAGCCAGGTAGCCTGTCCCCTCATGGCTCAGCTCCCCACAGGGAGGACCAGGCTGCAGCAGTGTGGCAATGGGGAGTTGGGAGCTCAGTGTCAATGGGGCATCTCTTGTCCTGTCACTGTGCTGGGCACTGTCCTGATGTCACCTGATTGGCATGAGGACCTGCAGCCCTGTGAGGCAGGGATGGGCTCTTCTACCTGCAGATGGGGAGACCAAGGCCTGATCTTGTCCAGACCCAAACAGCAGAGGGAGGGGAGTACATGGAGTGGGAACTAAGATGTTCCAGCAGTAACAGAAGTCATAAGGGTGGTGGGGCTTGGAAGGTCAGTGTTGAACTAATAAGCTGTAAACAGCACAGAAGACTTGACACAGGTCTTGATCCTGTGTTGTGTTCAGTCCCTTGACTCTGGCTGGTTGAACTCTCCCATCTCAGGGATCACTGTGCTGGGCACTGTCCTGTCACCTGACATGAGGACCTGCAGCCCTGGGAGGCAGGAGTTGGGTCTCCTACTTGCAGATGTGAAGACAAAGGCTCTGATCTTGTCCAACCCAAACAGCAGAGGGAGGGGGTGTATAGAGCAGAACTGAGATGTTCCAGCAGTTACAGAAGTCATAAGGGAGGTGGGACATAGAAGAACAGTGTTAGACTTATTAACGTTAAACAACAGACTAGAACTGCCATCCTAGGTAAGGGCATGCCATCATACTGTGCTGTCTTTAGCCTTCATTGCCCATCTTTTGAGGCTTCTCATCTCACAGATCAGAGAGCCTGAGGGACCTGCCTGAAGACACACATCTACTAAAGTCTAGAAGATAGAACCCAGGACTTGCAGGTCATGGGCAAAGATGCCTCCAGGCTTGCTCCCTGCTGAAGAGCAGGGACTCAGGCCACACTTGGGATAGGAGTGCTCTGCTGGGTTCCTCCAATGCCCTTGTACAGTGGCACCTGGCACAATGACCAGCTGGTCACTTCCCTCTCTGAATGTTGCTCTGCAGGCCTGTGATCCTGGACCCGGCTGACCCAGCAACAAATGTGGCTGGTTTGAACGCAGATGGCTGGTGCCTGCTGGCAGAGGAGGCGATGACATACCTGGACTCTGAATACTTTAAATACTGGGATGGCTCCCCAGTGGGCTCATGGGATGTGCCGGTGAGACATTGTCATCAGCCTGTCCCCTTGTACAGGGCTTTGGTCAATCGATCAATAACAAGAACATTAAAAAAAATGTGGTCTTTCAAAAGGTGCCCAGGATTGTAGGGCGTTCTGTCACATTTTGCTTTACAGTCATTGTGACCTCAGATTGTCACATCACCCACACAGTCCCTGTCACTAAACATCCTAGAGCCTCTGCTCTGAGTGTCAACTTAGTGCTCAGGCTCTGTCCTGTGTTCTTTAATAGAGTGGCCCACTGTATCCATATACGTGCAAATGCAAAGTTCTCTACAATACAGTAGCTCACTGGATTCTTCTCACACATGCTGTACTGTGTAATTTATCAGACTGAATCACTGGACCATTATGGGCCATCTTCCTAACAAGTGGATGTGCTATCCTTTACCTGGTCTCTGAAGACTAGGTATGGTGCCCACACTCAGAGCTCCTGGGCATCACTTCTGAGTAGGAATGTGTGCTCCTAACGTGATTGCATGCCTTCTATTATTGATAAAAGATACAACTCTGAGACAGATGGTCAGTTTTTCCCTGTGAGTATTTTTTATTCATATGTGGACTTCAACCACATAGTCGAGGCTAGCGTGGAGCTCGCCATCCCCCTGGCTTAGTGCAGGGAAGACTGCAGTCTAGGCCCACCTTTAACGATACTAGGGTCCTGATGACATCATGTGTGGAACCGGGGTGCTGCTTACTCTGGCAGCAAGGATGAGGGGATCAAAGCACAGAAGGTCTAGGAAGGACAAAGAACGAAATTGGGAGGAGTCGGCTCTGGCTGCCGTGCCTTCCGCGTCTGTCACAGAGCAGACAGGTCCCTAGGCCCTGTGCCCTTTAGGCAGGTTTGTTACTTAATTAGCGGCTAGGAGCAATTTCACCCTGTTATGGCCCCCAAGAAAGTCACGATGGCCATCTTCCCAACATGGGTCTGTGTAGGGTATCTAGAGTCTAGTCATGGGGCCCATCCTCAGAACTCCTGGGCATCCCTTCCGAGTAGGAATATGGGCTCCTGACACGATTCTGTGTTTTCTGTTACAGACAGAAGTCCCAGCTCTGAGACAGCAGGTCAGTTGTTTTCTTTGTTTTTTTTTTTTTTTCCAATGTTGGGTTCAAACTCATAGCTCAGCCTACTCTGGAGCTCACCATCCTCCTGGCTTACTGCTGGGAAGACTGCAGTGTAGGCCCAGTCTTACTGATGCTAGGGAACAGGTGACTCCATTTGTGGAGTGAGGTTGGTGTTTACTTCGTGTGCAGAGATGAGGGAGGCAAACATCAGAGGGTCTGGAAAGGAAGCAGAGGGGACCCAGGAGGGAGGCACCTGTAGCTGCTGTGGCTTACATGTCTGTCATACAACAGACAGGGCCTAGGCACTGTGTCCCATTTGGCCGATTTTTTTAGGGGACCTCAGGTGGGACTATATACCCCTTGAACCTGTTAAGGCCCCAAAGAAAGTTGTGACTGCCATCTTGCCAACATGGGGCTGTGTGGGATCTCTGGGGTCAAGTCATGGTGGTGCCCATGCCCAGAGCTCTTGGGCATTTCTCCTGAGTAGGAATGTGGGCTCATGACAGTATTCTGTGTTTTCTGTTGCAGGTGAAAGTACCAGATCTGACACAGGTCAGTTTTTTTCTTGTGTCTGTTTGTTTCAATGTCGTGTAAAACTGGCTAGCCCAGGTTGCCCTGGAGCTCGCCATTCTCCTGGCTTAATGCTGGAATGACGGCAGTCTAGGCCCACTCTTATTGATGCTAGGGAATTGATGAAGCCATGTGTGGACTCTGGGTTGTGCTGAATTTGAGGGCAGGCTTGAGAAAAACAACCTCAGAAGGTCTAGAAGGATGAAGTATAGACGCCTGGGGAGGCAGCATTGGCTACTGTGACTTTCAAGTCTGTCACACAGCAACTGGTCCCTAGGCACGAAGTCGCTTTTCAGATTTTTTAAGGGACAAAGGTTGGGGCAACACACCCATTCAACCTGTTAAGACCCCCAAGAAAGTCATGACAGACATCTTGCCGACATGGGGCTGTGTGGGATCCCTGGAGTCCAGTCATGTTGGTGCACACTCTCAGAGCTGCTGGGCATCCCTTCTGGGTCGTGCTGTCTGCTCCTGATCTGATTGCGTGTCTTCTGTTACAGGTACAAGATACAGCTCTGAGCCAAGAGGTTAGTTTTGTTTTGTTTTGTTTTGTTTTTTGTTTTCCTGTGTGTCTTTTTCGGTCCAATGTGGACTTGAACCGCCTAGCCCGGGTACCCTGGAGCTTGCCATTGTCCTGGCTTAGGTCTGGGATGACAGCAGTGTGGGTCCAGTGTTAGTGATGCTAGGGACCGGACGACACCATGTGTGGACTCTGGGTTGTGGTCAGTTGGGATGCAGGGACAAGGGCAACAATCCTCAGACGGTCTAGAGAGGATGAAGAAGGAGCCCGTGCGGAGGCAGCTCTGACTGCCCCGGCTTCCAAGTGCAAGTGTGCCACACAGAAGAAGGGGCCCTAGTCCCTGTGTACCATTTGGCAGTTTTATGGCTTATTGGCGTACCTCTCATGGGGATATAACATCCTTCGCCCGGTTATGGCCCCCAAGAAAGTCCCCATGGCAATCTTCCCAACAAGGCCCTGTGTAGGGGATCTTTAGTACCGTCGTGGTTCACATGCCCAGAGCTCCTGGGCCATTCCTTCCGAGTAGGAATGTGGGCTCATGACACGATTCTGTGTTTTCTGTTACAGGCGGAAGTCGAAGCTCCCACAGAGGTCAGTTGGTTTTTTCTTTCTTTTTCTTGTGTCTATGTTTGTCTCTCTTTCGGTTCAACGGGATAGCCCAGGCTGCCCTGAAGCTCGCCATCCCCCTGGCTTAGTGCAGGGAAGGCTGCAGTCTAGGCCCACCTTTAACGATACTAGGGTCCTGATGACATCATGTGTGGAACCGGGGTGCTGCTTACTCTGGCAGCAAGGATGAGGGGATCAAAGCACAGAAGGTCTAGGAAGGACAAAGAACGAAATTGGGAGGAGTCGGCTCTGGCTGCCGTGCCTTCCGCGTCTGTCACAGAGCAGACAGGTCCCTAGGCCCTGTGCCCTTTAGGCAGGTTTGTTACTTAATTAGGGGCTAGGGGCAATTTCGCCCCGTCAGGGCCCCAAGAAAGTCGATGGCCAGCTTCCCAACATGGGTCTGTGTAGGGTATATCTCGAGTGCAGTCGTGGGGCCCATCCTCAGCTCCTGGGCATCCCTTGCGAGTAGGAATGTGGGCTCCTGACACGTGTCTGTGCCTTCTGTTGCAGGTGGAAGATGCAGCTGTGAGCCAGGAGGTCAGTTGAATTCTTCTTGTCGTTGTTTCATGCCGGGTACAACCACATGGCCCAGGCTAGCCTGGAGCTCACCGTCCTCCTGGCTTTGTGCCGGGCTGACTGTAGTGTCTATACACCCTTACAGATGCTAAGGTACTGTTGATGCCATATAGGGCGTAGGATGGTTCTCAATTTGGGTGCGGGGATGAGGGAGAAAACCTCACCAGTTCTAGAATGCTTGAAGCCCGAACCCGTAGTTAGGTAGCTCTGGCTGCTGTGGCTTCACAGTCTGTCCCCAGGCCCTGTGTCCCTTTTGGCAGTACTCTGTGTTAAATCAGGGGACCTCAGATGGGGCTATGTACCCCTCCAGCCTCTTAAGACCCCCATGAAAGTCCTCAAGGCTATCTTCCCAACCTGGAGCCGCGTGCCATCTTTGGAGTCCAGGCATGGTGCCCACGCTCAGAGCTGCTGGGCATCCCTTCTGGGTCGTGCTGTCTGCTCCTGATCTGATTGCGTGTCTTCTGTTACAGGTACAAGATACAGCTCTGAGCCAAGAGGTTAGTTTTGTTTTGTTTTGTTTTGTTTTTTGTTTTCCTGTGTGTCTTTTTCGGTCCAATGTGGACTTGAACCGCCTAGCCCGGGTACCCTGGAGCTTGCCATTGTCCTGGCTTAGGTCTGGGATGACAGCAGTGTGGGTCCAGTGTTAGTGATGCTAGGGACCGGACGACACCATGTGTGGACTCTGGGTTGTGGTCAGTTGGGATGCAGGGACAAGGGCAACAATCCTCAGACGGTCTAGAGAGGATGAAGAAGGAGCCCGTGCGGAGGCAGCTCTGACTGCCCCGGCTTCCAAGTGCAAGTGCACCCTGTCAGGGCCCCAAGAAAGTTGATGGCCAGCATCCCAGCATGCGTCTGTCTAGGGTATCTAGAGTGCAGTCGTGGGGCCCATCCTCAGCTCCTGGTCATCCCTTCTGAGTAGGAATGTGGACTACTGACAAGATTCTGTGTGTTCTGTTGCAGATGGAAGTTGCAGCTGTGAGCCAGAGGTTAGTTTGTTCTGTTTGTTTTAGTTTTGTTTTCCTGTGTGTCTTATCGGTCAATGTGGACTTAAACCAGCCATTCCAGGCTACCCTGGTGCTCCCGGTCCTCCTGGGTTTGTGCTGTGGTGACTGTAGTGCATGTCCACTGTTAATGACCCTAAGGAACTGATGATGCCTTATATGGCCTCATGATGGTTCTCTGTTTGGATGCAGTAATGAGGGAGACACTCCTCAGAAGGTTTGGAAAAGAAGCAGAGGGGACCTAATGAGGAGGCAGCTATAGATGTGTGGCTTACATGTCTGTCTTTCAACAGACTGTTCCCTTGGCACTGTGTCCCATTTGGCAGATTTTTAGGGGACCTTATATCGGGCTACTCACCCCTTAACGTGTTAGGGCTCCCAAGAAAGTTGTGACGGCCATCTTGCCAACATGGGGCTGTGTGGGGTCTCTGGAGTCCAGTCATGGTGGTGCCCACGCTCAGAACTCCTGGGCTTCCCTTTTGAGTAGGAACTTTTGCTCCTGACATGATTGTGTGTTTTCTGTTACAGTTTGAAGAAGTCTTTCTGAGCAAAGAGGTCAGTTGGTTTTTTCTTTCTGTGCCTTGTGTCTATGTATGTCTCTCGTCGGTTCAACCGCATAGCTCAGTCTATCCTCGAGCTTGCCATCCTCCTGGCTCAGTGCTTGGATGACTGCAGTGTAGGCCCAGTCTTAACTGATGCTAGGGAACTGATGATGATCATTTGTGGAACGCAGGGTATAGCTTCGTTTGTGTGCAGGGATGAGGGAAGCAAATCTCAGAAGGTCTGGAAAGGAAGCAGAGAGTACCCAGGAGGGAGGCAGCTGTAGCTTCTGTGGCTTCCACATCTGTCACACAGCAGACTGGTCCCTAGGCCCTGTGTCCCATTTGGCAGATTTTTTACTTAATTAGGGGACCTCATGGGACTATGAACACCTTCACCCTCTTATGTCCCCTAAGAAATTCCGGATGGCCAGCTTCCCACCATGGGTCTCTGTAGGGTATCTCGAGTCCAGTCATGGGGCCCATCCTCAGAGCTCCTGTGCTTCCCTTCCGAGTAGGAATGTGGGCTCCTGACACATTTCTGTGTTTTCTGTTGCAGATGGAAGATGCAGCTCTGAGCCAGGAGGAGGTCAGTTGTTTTCTTTGTGTCTTTGTTTTGTTTTTGTTTGTTTGTTTTTTGTGGGCTTTTTTTTTTTTGCAATATCGGATTCAATCACATAGCTCAGGCTACTCTGGAGCTCGCAATCCTCCTGGCTTAATGCTTAGATGACTGCAGTGTAGGCCCAGTCTTATCGATGCTAGGGAACAGGTGACGCCACGTGTGGACTCAGGTTGGTGTTTAGATTGTGTTCAGGGATGAGGGAATCAAACCTCGGAAAGTCTGTAATGGAAGCAGAGGGTCTCAGGAGGCAGGCAGCTGTGGGTGCTTGTGTCTTCCAAGTCTGTCACACAGCAGACAGGTCTCTAGGCCCTTTGTCCCTTTAGGGAACGCCAGATGGTGCTATGAATGCCTTAAAACTGTTAAGGCACCCAAGAAAGTCCTGAACGCTATCTTCCCTTCATGGTGCTGTGTGAGATAGATCCCTAGAGTTCAGTTATGGTGCCCATGCTCAGAGCTCCTGGGTGTTCCTTTCCTAGTAAAATTGGGCTCCTAACATGATTGTGTGTTTTCTGTTACAGTTTGAAGAAGTCTTTCTGAGCAAAGAGGTCAGTTGTTTTCTTTGTGCCTTTGTTTCGATGTCGGGTTCAACCGCATAGCTCAGTCTATCCTCGAGTTTGCCATCCTCCTGGCTCAGTGCTTGGATGACTGCAGTGTAGGCCCAGTCTTACTGATGCTAGGGAACTGATGATGACATTTGTGGACGCAGGGTATAGCTTAGTTTGTGTGCAGGGATGAGGGAAGCAAGTCTCAGAAGGTCTGGAAAGGAAGCAGAGAGTACCCAGGAGGGAGGCAAGTGTAGCTTCTGTGGCTTCCAGGTCTGTCACACAGCAGACTGGTCCCTAGGCCCTGTGTCCCATTTGGCAGATTTTTTACTTAATTAGGGGACCTCATGGGACTATGAACACCTTCACCCTGTTATGTCCCCTAAGAAATTCCGGATGGCCAGCTTCCCACCATGGGTCTTTGTAGGGTATGAGTGCAGTCGTGGGGCCCATCCTCAGCTCCTGGGCATCCCTTCCGAGTAGGAATGTGGGCTCCTGACACGTGTCTGTGTCTTCTGTTGCAGATGGAAGATGCAGCTCTGAGCCAGGAGGTCAGTTTTTTTCCTTGTGTCTTTTGTTCTGCTGTGGACATCAACTGCATTGGCCAGGCTCCCCTGAGGCTCGCCATCCTCCTGGTTCAGTGCTGGGATGACAGCTGTATCCCTCATGTGCTTTGCCTTCCCTCCATCCTTAGGTGATTGAGAGCTGGGCTTGTGTCCTTCTGTGAGCACAGCAGCTTCTGCCCAGGAGGCTCGCGTCTCCGCGAATGTGACCCTCTGTGCAGGACTTCACCAGAGAAGGCCGGAATCTTCCCAAGCTCCCATCCTGGGCTCCTGACCCTGCCTGCCCACCCTTCTATGTTGTCTCATCTATGACAGCCTTCCCTACAGCTACTTCATCTCCCTTAATCTGGATATTGTTCTCCGCAAGAGATCAGAAGGGAATGGGAGAACTTAACCTTGACTTCCATTTGTGTATCTGCTAGAGGGTTCAGTCCAATATCTGATCAACAATAAACCACAGCAGGGTCTTAGAAGTAGAGGTGTGTGTGTGATTCAACAAATGCACTTATTGAGCACATACTACATGATTCACATGGTATCAGGCACTGAGCACTCAGCAGTGGACACAGAAGAACCAGTCTATGACATCTATGATGCCACATGTTTTGGGATCCCTCCAGGTGTCTTAGTTTGTCCCATGTGACTCAGAAGCTGCTCTGCAGCTGCAAATGGTCAAGGGGACCTGGGAATATGAGCAGTGCACAGGAACATGAACGGTGGCGTCGACACAAAGGCTGGGGTTTGAGGAAGTGCATGACAACTAAAGAGTGCATTGACGTTGTGACTCTGGTCACACTAAACAGGAACAGGGTTGTCTGTCGTGATAATGAACTTTTGATACACTGAATTAAATCACAGTATCTGCTGTCTTTTCTCTCTTTGTTTTTCAAGACAGTGTTTCTCTGTGTCCTGGAACTGGCTCTATTAGACCAGGCTGGTCTGAAACTCAGAGATCTGTCTGCCTCTGCCTCCTCAGTGCTGGGATTAAAGGCGTGTGCCACCAATGCCTGACCCTTTTTCTCTTTCTGAGACAAGATATAATGTGGCATAAGCTGACTTGGAAGTCACAGGCATCTTTCTGCCTTAGTCTTCTGAGTTCCGCAATCACACACACACACACACACACACACACACACACACACACACACACTCAGACACAGACACCACCCTCTACACAGACCTAACAGTTCCATAGTTCAGTATTGTGAACCAATGGCTCATTTGTCAGAACCAACAAGCACACATATGCACCCCCAAAGCCTGCTCCTATCCCCAGTGCCGACTCTCTAATACCTCGTGTGTGTGTGTGTGTGTGTGTGTGTGTGTGTGTGTCCGTGTCCTTCCAGCCCTCATTTGCTCAGTTCTCACTGAGAACCAGGAGCCCCAGTGTCCCGGAGTGTGAGAAGACACGTGTCCCTAGACCTCAGCACACATCACACTCTGCCTTGTGCTCTATCTGAGCCCCTGGTGGACCCGATGATGCTGTTCTACAGTTCCAGTGTTGCCCCTTCTGCAATACTCCCAGATACATAGAGAAGATTTGAATAAGTAATGCCCAGGGGTTCCACCAGGTCTCCTGCCAAGCTGAGGGGACTCATTACGTGAGCCATCATGTACCACACACTAAAGCAAATCTACATGTGACATGTAAGGGCCACATCACATGTCTCCATGACCGAATTACCCCTTGTATGGACCTTTGAGGACCTTCTCAATGAAGAAGACCATGTTGGCTAACAGCAGGCTACAGGATAAGTGATGAGCAGCCTATGGGAGGAGCCACTAGGTGGCAGGATCAGGTTTCCATGACAACAGTCAGATCATGTCTCAGATGGAGTGAGATAGCCACAGTGTCTGACTGCCATGTTGTGCAGGGTCATGCTTGCTCCTGACCACACCTGCCCGAGAGCCCTTTGACCCTAAGCACTGGGGTCTACCCTGCTCTTCCTTGGGTGCCGTGTGGGTTCTGACTCACAGTTCATGCTGGTCAGGGAAGTGGCAGGGCTTGATGGCAGACACTTTGGGTTTCCAAGTCCAGCCTTCAACTTCAATCTTCTGCCCAAGGTCGGGTGCTTCCTTGTTGTGAGATGTTTTACTCTTTGGGCTCTTTTGGTAGCTGCTACCTTATTACTACTTATTAAAGCCCAGTCTCAGCTTGGCTTCTTTATACCCAACTTTTCTTAAATTATCCCATCTACCTCTGGCCTTTTCCCCTTTCTTACTCTGTATATCTTACTTTCAATCTCACTCTGACTGACTGGGTAGCTGGGTGGCTGGACCCTGACACCATACTCTCCTTGTTCTCTTGCTTCTCCTTCTCTTCCCAGATTTCTATTTCTTCTCTCTGCCTGCCAGCCCCACCTATCCTTTCTCCTGCCTCACTATTGTCTGTTCAGATCTTTATTAGATCATCAGGTGTTTTAAACAAGCAAAGTAACACAACTTCACAGAGTTAGAATGGCACACCTTACTTCCCCAACACTTCCTCCACTCCAGGGCCCACCCACTGAATAAGTAGTGCAGGTCCATTGAGGGAGGTATTGCCCTGTCCACTGTGGTACTGCAAGGGTTCAGTTCCCCAGGAAGCCAGTTCATCTACACTCAGCTCAAATTTAAGATTTAGATTTAGGTCAATAAAGCTGTGACAGCCTCTGCCCTCATCCTCTAGACATCCCTTATGGCTCCTTCTAATGCCCACGGTGGCTCATCCTCATGGCCAACTTCACCAGCCTAACACCCTCCTTGGAAATACCTCTGGGCATGTCTGTGAGGGCATTTCCAGAAATGTCTGCCAACTGCTTCCTTCACTGAATAATACTTGGTAGCCTGCTGTCAGCCCACTTCCCCATCAGAATGGTTGATTGACTTCTGACCGGGTTACCAAGACACAATGGGGAGAAGGGCTCTTCTGCAGGGGAATTGGGAAAGCTGGATCTCCACTGACAGGAAGAAATCCCACCCTCACCTGGCCATGTGCGAAGGCCATCGGAGATGGAAGCTGAGGATCCTAACAGAGGGCAGCTTAGTCACGATGACCTTGGCTGTTCTCTTGGCTCTGACATCAAAATCACAGAAAACTCAGGATGAGTCTTTTATGTCAGTTCTCATGCATGTTGGGTGAGCACTCTGCCACTGAGCCACACCTACTGCCTCTTACTGGAACACTCCAGACAAGCCCCTCCCTGCTGAGCCACACCCCTGTTGCCTTTCTAGTCTCAGAGGTCCACACAAGGAAGCCAATCCATCATGGAGGAATGGGAGACAGTCATGACATACCACACATGGACTTACATTGTTGTGGGATAGATGAGGGCTGATATGTTGGGTCTACAGAATGGCAGGGACATGGGGGAGCCTTGGACATTGTTATTAAAAAGGGTGTCTGTGTATCTGGGAGGGTTTCAGAAGGGACAAGACTGGAGTCATAGACCAGCATCATTGGGTCTGGGGGCTCAGATAGAACACAAGACTGAGTGTGATTTGTTCTGTGGTAGAGAGAACATGTGTGTTCTTACACCGGAGGACTTTGGGGCTCCTGGGCCTCAGAGTCACAACTGAATGAATGAGGGCCAGGGAGACCCACCACAGTGATTAAGAGAGTGGGCTTTGGGGACAGGAGCTGTGAGTCTGAGCAATGCCCTGCCCTCTTAGTGAGCAGGATCAAAGGGGTCACACGTGAGGGGCTTTGTGGTCATGGGATTGTGTATTTATGTAGTCACACATGCTGTCTCACCACACTGAACTATAGAACCATTTGGTCTCCATGTAAAGGGTGGTGTGTGTGTGTGTGTGTGTGTGTGTGTGTGTGTGTGTGTGTGTGTGTGTGTGTGTGTGTAATCCCAGAACTTGAAAGACTGAAGCAGGCATATTTTTGTGAATTCCAGGCCAGAGTGGGACATATAATGAGATTCTGTCTCAGAAAGAATGAAAGGAAGAAAGAGAGAAAAAGAAAACAAATTAGTTTTTAGGTTAATTCTGAGAATTTTGATTTATTTTACTGCTTCGAGCCTCATCATAGCCTCTGACAAGTAAGTTTTAAAGTCACTATGGAACCAGATTCCATGCAATTTCATTTTCCTGCGAGGCACATCCTCTGACTCCGGAGTCTTCTGGGCAGGTGCTGTTGTGCTCACAGGGGGACACATGCTCAGTTCTCCTCCACCTGGGGGTGGAGGGAAGGCAGGGAACATCAGGTCTACAGTGCAGCCACCCCAGCACTAAGGGAAGAGGATGGTGAGCTCCAGGCTAGCCTGGTCTACACAGCAGAAACCCACATCAGAACAATTGAAAACAGCAACACCAAAAATCTAACTTTGCTATTGTGGCACAGGAACTTCCATCTGTAGCAGAAAACACACAATCATGTCAGGAGCCCACATTCCTACTTGGAAGGGGGTGCAAATGAGCTCTGAGGGTGGAAACCATGATGGCACCAGAGCCCCTCAGAAGGAGGACAGCACATCCCCATGTTGGGGAGATGGCCGTCAGGACTTCGGGGGAGCCATGCGTGTTGAAGGTGTATGTAGCCCCAGGAGAGGACCCCTCTTTCACATCTGCCGAATCAGAGACTGGGCCAAGTACCTGTCTGCTGCATGACGGTCCCAAAGGTCACAGCAGCCACATTGCCTCCCTTCTGGGTCCCTTTTCACGTCCTTCCTGAGCTGAGGTTTGCTCTCCACATCCCTGCACCCATACTAAGGCCCATCCTGAGGCCAGCATGACATCATCTGTTATCTAACATCAGAAAATCCTATGTCCAAGGAGAGGAAACAATCCAAGTGCAGGTCCCTCTGTGCCTCTTAGCTGTGACACAGCCTCCCCCCCCCCAGTCCTGTTGGCCACATGATGGTGATGCAGGAGGGATGGGCTGCTTCCTGGACCTGAGCACTGGCTTCAGAGCCCACCGGAATCCAGCCCCACCTCTCCTTAGCTGAGCATCCCTGAGCCAGTGGTTTCAGCTCTCTCATCCTAATGGTGTGTGTGTGTGTGTGTGTGTGTTTCTGTGTACATGTGTATTTGCATGTGTATATATGTTTGTGTGTATATATGTGTATGTTTGTGTGTGTGCAACCACAGATAACAATATACTTCTCAAGTGCTGTCCACCTTGACATTTTGAGTCATACTAGCCTGGAGCTCACCAACTAGGCTATGCTCTCTCACCAGCAAGACAGGGGCCCTGCCATTCCTGCTTCCCAAAATTGGAATGTCAAGTGCACATCTCCTTGTATGGCTTATTTACATGGTTCTGGAGATGATACCAGGCTCCCTATCCTTACTTATGTGGCAAGAGTTTTATTGACTGAGCCATATCCCCAGCCTGAGCCTCTTCTCTCATCAGAAAGAGATGAATTTTATTAAGTTCAGTTTGTAGAGCCCTGGTGAGGGTCCGGGGAGGTACTGTACGATAAGAACACAGGACAGCATGTATGCAGATCCAGTGAGTCGCTGTATGATAAAGAACACAGCATGAGCATGTGTGAGGATACATTGGGCTACTGTATGATAGAGAACATAGGACAGAGCTTGAGCACAAAGCTGATACTCAGGGCAGAGGCTGTCATTCCTTAGGACGCCGAGTGACAGGGAGTCTTCAGGGGTGATGTAACCATCTGAGGTCACAATGACTGTAAAGCGAACAGTGTGACAGGACACCCTTCAATCCAGGGCACCTTTGGAAAGACCACATTTTTGTTTGAATATTCTTCACATAGATGGAGTGACCAAAGCTGTGTACAAGGGGACAGGATGATGACAAGGTCTCACCAGCACATCCCAGGAGCGCACTGGGGAAAGATCCAAGTTTTTAAAGCATGGGTATTCCAGCCAGGCAGTCGCCTTTCCTGCCAGCCCACTGAGTTCGAAACAGCCACGTTCCTTGTTGGGTCAGCTGGGTCCAGGATCACAGGCCTGCAGAGCAGCATTCAGAGAGGGAAGTGACCAGATGACCAGTGCCCCAGGTGACACTGCACAGTTAATCTATTCCTCACAGCCCTTACAATACTGTTACATCAGGAACATCTCAGATCCCACTCCATGTACCCCCTCCCTCTGATGTTTGGGTCTGGACAAGATCAGAGCCTTGGTCTCCCCATCTGCAGACAGGAGAAACCACCCCTGCCTCCCAGGGCTGCAGGTCCTCATGTCAATCAGGTGTCAGCAGGACAGTGCCCAGCACAGTGACAGGACAGGAGATGCCGCATTGACCCTGAGCTCCCACCTCCCCATTGCCATACTGCTGCAGCCTGGTCCTCCCTGTGGGGAGCTGAGCCATGAGGGGACAGGCTACCTGGCTCCACTGAGCTGTCTGTGCAGGTAGTTGGAGACCTCTTGGTCTTGAAAGTCATAACACATTGTCCAGTAGATTCGAAGCTGCCAGTACTTGGTGACCAGTTCCAAGACTGCCCTGAAGCCCCGGGCTGTGTTGAAGTCAGGGAATCCACTCCCATGTTCCCAGGCATAGACTGTGAGCAGCTCCAGGGCATACTGTGGGGGCAGCGGCTTCCCCAGTTTCTCCTTACACTGAGAAGAGAAAGGCAAAGAGAAAAACGTGGGTTGTGAGCTGTTGTGTGGGGGACACTTAGCGCGGGGTCTATACAGCTGCCATTGCATTTACTGGCACACAGCCACACCCGTTCATGTAGTCAGTCTGTGGATGTCCCTGTGCTACAGGCAAGGACTGGTGGTTGAGACGGAGACTGTGAGGTCCACAAAGACTGAGCATTTACCAGCAGACACAGGAGGAGTCATGACATTGAGTGACAGCCAGGGAGTGAGGGTGGGGGCGGGAGAGCAATGATGCTCACTATTGAAGGTTTCTTCACAGGCTCTGAAATAACTGGGGAGGGGCTAGGGAGGTGGCCCAGTGGGTAAAGTGTTTGCAGTCATGAGAACTGGAGCTCACATGCCCAACAAACACATGAACGTCAGGCAGGTGAGGAACCCACTCATAATCCCAGCTTCAGGACGTGAGGTGGGGTCCCCAGGAGTACGCTTGTGTTCAGACCTGCTGACTCAGCACACTGTAGGCTCAAAGTGTGAGGCCCTGCCTGGATGGACAGGGTGGAGAGTGACTGAGGAGCTGATATCAGCTTCAGACCTCCACATGCTTATGAACACTCATGCACTCACGTAGGCATGTGCTCCCATAAACAGAGATACACACACCCACACCAGATATATCTCACACATGAAATACTCTAGAAATACTGCAGGATGGATGTTTAAAGAAACCACAACTTAACACATCAGGAAAACGAAAGCCATGGTAAGCACAAGGGCATGTTTAAAAAACAACCAAACAGAAATCCATAGACAAAGTTGGGCCTGAAGGTGTACACTGTTTATCCCATCACTAGGTGGCAGATGTAGTGAAATCTGTGTGTTCAAGGCCAGCGTGGTCTACATAGTGTGTTCAGGATACCCAGAGCTACATAGTGAAATATTGTCTCAAAACAACAGAAGAAAGAGAAATCCAAGATCAGAATGACACTTGAACAATGAATTAGATGCCGCCGAAGAGTGACTTAGTTGACTGGAAACTGGACTAGAAGAAATCATCCATAGCAAGCATGGAAATTCCTCCTTCCTCCCAGGTCCTCTCCCCTCCTTCTCCCTCCTACAACGTCACCCTCCCTTGCCTTCCCCCTTCACCCCTCCATTCTCTCTCTTTTCCTTCCCACCACTCCTTCCCTCCCCTCTTGCTCCTCATTTTCCTCCTCCTCATCACCCCTCCCGTTCTCCACACCCTGTGAAGATGGGGCTCATGGTGGCTGGGCCAGAGGCCATACCAGTTGGTACCAGTGCTTGACCAGTCGGATGAGACTCTTCAGCTTGGGTGAACGGTCCTCAGGAAGTTTCTCTAGAGCTCTGTAAAGCAGGTGGAGAACTCACCCTCCAGCTTCTTGGAGGTGCACTTCCTGATGAGCCTTCTGTAGATTTGGGGATTAGGCTTGATGTAGTTGAGTTGACCTATAAAGAGGTTTTATTCAGCAAACACACCAGCTCTTCTCTGAGGTTCTTGGGTCTATCTGGGGTGACAGACTCAAAGGCTATGGGGTTCAGAGTACAGGGCAGATTTTGGCTGGCATCCAGCATGCCACGAAGATTCTCCTGTCTTTGCCCATGTAGGGCCTAGGTGACAGGTTAATGTGTGGTTCTTTCTGTTTAGGTGGGTGCTGAGGATTTGAACTCAGGTCCTCATTCAGCAGCAATTGCCCTTTTCCCTGCACTGTCTCCCCAGCCACTGTGTGTTCTCTGTGGATGACTTCCCATAGCTCATAACACGCAGTAACTTGTCTAGTCCTGAGAGCAGAAGGGTAGGGATGTGTGGGTGGGTGTTTGTGTGTGTGTGTGTGTTTGGTGTTGTTGCTGTTTTCAATTGTTCAGATGTGGGTTTCTGCTGTGTAGACCAGGCTAGCCTGGAGCTCACCATCCTCTTCCCTTAGTGCTGGGGTGGCTGCACTGTAGACCTGATGTTCCCTGCCTTCCCTCTTCCCCAGGTGGAGGAGAACTGAGCATGTGTCCCCCTGTGAGCACAACCCACGCATGCAAACACACATGTAGGCAACAGGCTGCTAAATAGATGTCAATGTGTGGTTGTGTGTGGGAGCATGTGCCCATTTCAGTAGACTAAGCATGAACACGCTGGGTCTTAGGTATGTGCAGATGTGTGTCCATGGTTACAACAGGTCATACCATTGGGTGTTGATACTGACACAGGACAAGTCACCTACTGATGGAGTTGGGGACATGCCCAGAGAGGTCTGTCTCTTATGTACTTATTTTCAACTTATGTGCCTAGCGCACAGTCAGGCTCATCAGCTAAGTCATCTTGGCTAGGGTTGTGGCTGGGGTCCTCCCTTGCCCTGTCCCCCACACTGTCATTTCTAGGGTGGTCCTTCTGTGGTGGCCCCCCTTCCCCACTGGAAAGCTGCCTGAGGCTGGGGAGTCCATGACAAGACAGGCTTCTGGGGAGCCGCCCTCCCAGCTCATTTCTGGGTCACCCTCTCTGGGCCCCTCCACTCTGCAGGGGTCTAAGCCTCTTGCAGCTTCCCACAGCATGCTGCCTGCTCCTACTCCCAGGCTGGCCTCCCATTCCCTGTACAAAACTTCCACTCAGTTTCAGAATCTCATATGCATGTACATGCATGTATGTGTGGGGTGGGGGGAACACACTCCAGAGCACAAGTGTGATGTGATCGTCTGTGGAAGCCAGAATTTGACACTGGCTGTTAAGCCCTGGGCAAGTGCTCTGCCCGCTGAGCCCCATGCCTCGCAGAAACCTGTGAGTCCAGCAAAGTCACTGCCCAGTTGGGTGGTGGTGGTGCACATCTTTAATCCCAGCACTGTCAAGGCAGAGGCACGAAGATCCCTGTGAGTTAGAGACCAAACGCCCCCCAAAACTCCATGCTCAACTTGCCCTCTATTCATTTATTAGTTTAGACCTCATGAGTGACATCCCACCAAGCACCAGACTCACAGGTGACATATGCACTGTGTGAGGTTAACTCTAATGTCGGTGTTGCTTGATTCCAAGGACTTTTCAGCCAGGTTCCATTCTCTCCTGCAGGCATCTCTGAGGCCTTTTCTCATATGAGTTTCCAACCATTTGTTCTGTTGCTGTGGAGATTCAAATGCCCTCTTTGAGGCCAGGCTCCTTAATGGCCTAAAGCCCTCCCATGAGGCCTCACCTCCAGACACCCCTCCCCCTCTGCCTACCAGCACCAACCAACCAACCAGGGACCACGGCTGGACATTTGAGATGTAGGGGCTCCAGGAGACACTGGGGTGTGAACATGAGGGGATCACAACAGGCCAGTTCACAGGCAGAGTCCCCAGGGACAGGGTCCACAACCAACTCCTGTCTGCTGAGGGAACAGAACCCAGACCTGTGAGTGTTCAAATGCCTGAGAAGAGGGTGCTGTTCCTGAAGCCATTAGGACAGAGGGGACCTTTTCCTGGACAGGAAACCTTCACAGGAAGTTACCAGATGACCCCACATGTTCATACACCCCAGGTCAAAGAGTATCCTGATGCTGACTTTGACCACTAGGGTCATGAAGGCATGGGATGTAAAGATTTCACTAGACCCAAAATAAATGAAAAATGAGTGTCTATTAGGGAACACTTACACAGATAAATGTTAAGAACCACAGGAGCGCTTCTCTGCCCTTTGTATTGGATCAGCTGACCCAAGAGAGAAACTACCCAAAAAGAAGCCAGGCCTCAAGCTTCCCTCTTTCTGCTTCTGTCTGCCTGAAACCACGCCCAAATGGGTGTGGCCACTGTTACAGGTTCACCAGCAAGACCACTACAGAGTGAGATGTCCCAGTTGGTCAATCGTCATACAAACCCTGGCACACACATGTGTGCATACAGCCCCTCTCCACATAGTGGCATCATGCCTAAGCCTCCCTGCAGGCGGGTCAGAACCCAATCTGGCCTGGATCCAGCTCCTCAACCCTGTTAGAAGCTGTGACTTTAAACAAGACCCTTAAATCCTCCCACTGGGAAGCAACGTGTTCTCTGTCAAACGGGGGGTATGGCTGCAGTTCCCAGGCTCTGGGAAGGATTGTTTTTGTTATTGTTTTAGAGCAGGGTCTCTGCATGTAACCCAGGCTGTCCTAGAGCCCTCTAGATAGACCAGGCTGGCATCAAACTCACAAGCGATCCTCCTCCTCTGCCTTCTGAGTGCTGAGATTAAATGGGGTTCGACACTCCCAGCATCTGGGAAAGATTAATTAGAAAATGCTTGGGGATTGTGTCATTGTCAAATGCACAGTTCATCAGGAAAGAGCTGGAACTTATTATTCTTTTTTAATATTTATTTTAAACCAGGTGGCAGTGGCACCCATCTTTAATCCCAGCCCTAAAGAGGTAGAGGCAGGTAAATCTCTGAGTTCAAGGCTAGCCTGGTTTATAAAATAAGTTTCAGGACAGGCTACAAAGAGAAACCTGTCCCCCCAAAAAGAAGAAAGATTTATTTTACCGTGTGCTGCACCAGGACGTGGTGTTATTACTGCTGATGGAACCATATCCATTTCTCACATAGATGCATCTCATTGGACCTCCAATTGTGGTGCCTACACCACAAGTTAGGTCCGAGGTATCAGGAAAAGAAAGACAAGACGTCCAGCTGTTTGTACTAAGAAATGCATGTGTTGCCTTTATTGCCAGGAGAGTGTGTGTGTGTGTGTGTGTCTTCATTGCAAGTGCTAACAGGTCTCTCCCTTGTAGGAGGGAGGAGCTTTTTATACAAGTTTACAGCACAGGGGAAAAAACCCCAGGTAAAAGAGATCGTTGTTTTCCTCCTGCTGGATGTTGATGTCAGAGGGTGAAGGCCAGGGCAGTGAGCCAGGACTAAAAAACAGAAAGCACTTGGACTGGAAAACAAGTTGCCCTTGTAGGCTGACCAACAACTCACAGAGACGCCATGGGGCTGGGGCCCAACAACGAGAGAGAGAGAGAGAGAGAGAGAGAGAGAGAGAGAGAGAGAGAGAGAGAGAGAGAGAGAGAGAGAGAGAGAGAGAGAGAGAGAGAGAGAGAGAGAGAGAGAGAGAGAGAGAGAGAGAGAGAGAGAGAGAGAGAGAGAGAGAGAGAGAGAGAGAGAGAGAGAGAGAGAGAGAGAGAGAGAGAGAGAGAGAGAGAGAGAGAGAGAGAGAGAGAGAGAGAGAGAGAGAGAGAGAGAGAGAGAGAGAGAGAGAGAGAGAGAGAGAGAGAGAGAGAGAGAGAGAGAGAGAGAGAGAGAGAGAGAGAGAGAGAGAGAGAGAGAGAGAGAGAGAGAGAGAGAGAGAGAGAGAGAGAGAGAGAGAGAGAGAGAGAGAGAGAGAGAGAGAGAGAGAGAGAGAGAGAGAGAGAGAGAGAGAGAGAGAGAGAGAGAGAGAGAGAGAGAGAGAGAGAGAGAGAGAGAGAGAGAGAGAGAGAGAGAGAGAGAGAGAGAGAGAGAGAGAGAGAGAGAGAGAGAGAGAGAGAGAGAGAGAGAGAGAGAGAGAGAGAGAGAGAGAGAGAGAGAGAGAGAGAGAGAGAGAGAGAGAGAGAGAGAGAGAGAGAGAGAGAGAGAGAGAGAGAGAGAGAGAGAGAGAGAGAGAGAGAGAGAGAGAGAGAGAGAGAGAGAGAGAGAGAGAGAGAGAGAGAGAGAGAGAGAGAGAGAGAGAGAGAGAGAGAGAGAGAGAGAGAGAGAGAGAGAGAGAGAGAGAGAGAGAGAGAGAGAGAGAGAGAGAGAGAGAGAGAGAGAGAGAGAGAGAGAGAGAGAGAGAGAGAGAGAGAGAGAGAGAGAGAGAGAGAGAGAGAGAGAGAGAGAGAGAGAGAGAGAGAGAGAGAGAGAGAGAGAGAGAGAGAGAGAGAGAGAGAGAGAGAGAGAGAGAGAGAGAGAGAGAGAGAGAGAGAGAGAGAGAGAGAGAGAGAGAGAGAGAGAGAGAGAGAGAGAGAGAGAGAGAGAGAGAGAGAGAGAGAGAGAGAGAGAGAGAGAGAGAGAGAGAGAGAAGAGAGAGAGAGAGAGAGAGAGAGAGAGAGAGAGAGAGAGAGAGAGAGAGAGAGAGAGAGAGAGAGAGAGAGAGAGAGAGAGAGAGAGAGAGAGAGAGAGAGAGAGAGAGAGAGAGAGAGAGAGAGAGAGAGAGAGAGAGAGAGAGAGAGAGAGAGAGAGAGAGAGAGAGAGAGAGAGAGAGAGAGAGAGAGAGAGAGAGAGAGAGAGAGAGAGAGAGAGAGAGAGAGAGAGAGAGAGAGAGAGAGAGAGAGAGAGAGAGAGAGAGAGAGAGAGAAGAGAGAGAGAGAGAGAGAGAGAGAGAGAGAGAGAGAGAGAGAGAGAGAGAGAGAGAGAGAGAGAGAGAGAGAGAGAGAGAGAGAGAGAGAGAGAGAGAGAGAGAGAGAGAGAGAGAGAGAGAGAGAGAGAGAGAGAGAGAGAGAGAGAGAGAGAGAGAGAGAGAGAGAGAGAGAGAGAGAGAGAGAGAGAGAGAGAGAGAGAGAGAGAGAGAGAGAGAGAGAGAGAGAGAGAGAGAGAGAGAGAGAGAGAGAGAGAGAGAGAGAGAGAGAGAGAGAGAGAGAGAGAGAGAGAGAGAGAGAGAGAGAGAGAGAGAGAGAGAGAGAGAGAGAGAGAGAGA